GCGGCACTTCTCCGTTGGAGGTGGACTGTCAGGACCCCAAAAGACCAAAAGCGGATCACACACATACAGTGGCAGCCCGAATGGCTTTTTCGAGTGGGAGTTTCGCACAAGAGTCCACACTGCTTTGTACAAGCAGTGTGTCACGCAATGGGTTCGATGTGGATCCAACGAGTCCTGGGTGAATCAGGAAGAGAGGTTCCCCTTCTCAACCTCCTCCACTACCAGTGTGAAACTCGCTCCTTTTGTTCGTGCCAACTAACTGAAGGCGCCTGATCCAAGCCAAAACAGCCCCGGGAATGCGCTTACTGTACAACACAGTCTGGTTAGGGCCAACAACAGCTCAAGAAACGCAGAATGTCACGTGTTTTTCTTACTTTTCTGGATTGTTGTAGAAAATTGTGGATTTGGAGAGAACTATCTGAATGCAGTGGGGTGTGACCACACTCCTGGGATACTTAGGTGGACTATGCACACAACTGCTTTGAGCTGGGCGTCAATTCTACAAGTCATGAGCTAGGGGGCGTTGAGCCAGCTAAGTGGTGGTTAGTGGCTAGCTTCATGGAAGCCATATGAAGCCTTGCTGCTCCATCAAGCACTTTAATTCTCAACTGCAAGTTTCTCGCTTGATCAGAAAAAGTCTTTTGTTGCATCGCACTGGGGGCTGAGCTACGGCAGCAAAAGGATTACCAAACAATCGGCCTTCGAGAAAAAACACAGCTTCTAAGCCGGGAGGGACGAGGGAGAGAACAGCAAGAGCATGCCTGGGCATGTTCGCCTCCGGGCCGCTGTTCGGAGGGGAAACCTGAAAGCATGCCCAAGATGCAACAAATCCCTTGCCCGCAGTTGTCGATCTCTGCCAGAAGCAATCCATTGCTGGCCCCACCCAAGCCAAAGAAAGGACTTAGTAGCAAGCATCTGAGCTGAAGTGGTTTAGCTGCCCCCAGCTCTTGATTTCCTGCGTAGCACAAACGCACCGGGCTGCCAACCACAAAATTGTTTCCATTCTAAGAAGGACCGTCTGGCTCTTCCTGCTTGCCCCGGCCACTTGCACTGTGGATTATACAGCCCGAATGACAAAGCTTGATGTCCAAAACAACATTTGAACATGCCGCATGCAAAAAAACAATATTTCCATGTGTAGAATGTAAACTCATGTGCAAGGCTTCTCAGAAACATAATGAACCAGAATGTTACAGTATATACTGTAATGTGCTTGCAAGTGCTGGCACATACGGCTCAACCACATTCGGCACGCGCCTATGTCTGTGCGGGGCAAGCTTTTGGCAGCAGACAGCTCTCGAAACAATCACCTCACAATCCTACGCCCTCGATCACACCCCCCTCTCATACCCGATCTTTCAATCACACAGCAATGAAACATAGATCCACGCTCCCCGAGATCATCCGAGCACAACCCAATTCCACCCAATTCCTCGTGACCACGCAATCACTCTCCCAGGTCGAGTCGGCCCGCAAGATAAACAAAATCATGCGCTTTCGATCGCACTTTCACACCCCTTTATCTGCACAGCTCCGAAGCCACACGCAAGTTGTGTTTGAGCTGCTTGCGCGCTTGCTTGCTTTCCATATAACTGTTCTGTTCTATTTTTGTGGTCCCTATATTATATCTTCTCAAAAAGTGTTCTGCTGCACGTTCAAGTTTTCATAAGTTTTCCAAGTTTTTTCTTCTGAGGTTGTTTTAAAGTCAAGAGTTGCTTCATGCTCGTCTGTGGTTGCTCTTTCACAATACAAATTGTGGAGCATTACACTGGCCAGAAGAAAGTTGCGCTTCTTGATGTTGAAAATCATGACAGCCCTATCCCCCTAGAATCCTACACCATGAGACAAGGGAAGGTGTGGGCGGTCATTTGTCACCCCGGAAAGCCTTGTATTATTATAAATTTAAAAGGGTGTGATAATTGACCGTCCCACACCTGCCACGAAAATTAGACTTGTCAATTCGATCCGCCGCTGACCTCAGAGTATTTTGTAAGAAGGCTAACAAGCGTAAACTTTTGTCTGCCTGAAGTATACCATACTCTAGTTGACGTGCTTATATATCTTAATGTAATGCAATTGCGGTGTCTTTGTTGCAGCCAAGACTCGAAATGGGAAGAAGGAGCGCCGGAGTTCTGAATTAGCTGAGAGCGCCTATACGCTTGTGGTCTGAGATCGTTGGGCTCATGCCTCTGAGTTGAAGTCTTTATCCCCTGCTACTAGGACTGGATGGGCTTACTTCATGGACACCAACCGTTCTGTATCACAGTCCAGGGGCCAAACATCGCAGAAGTCATGCATCACAAACCATGCAAACTGTGGGTGCTGGCAAGCACAGTCCAAATTGAAGCTCTTTTCTGCTGGGAGCACTGCAAATACACACGCACACGGATTGCCACCACTTGACTGAAGCACAATGAATTTCAAAAAGGCCGCGTGACCCAATTTCAAATCTGTCCAGAGTAGTGCTGCGTGGTCTGCGGCATCAGGGATTCGTGCCACGCTGCTGAAGCTACTGTTCCAATCCTGCCATCGATGCAACACCGCAAAACCCTTGTGCAGGCATGCGGATGCATGCAGCATGGACTTTGTCTTTTAGGTTTCTTGTTGGCTTCCCTTCTTCCTTTGACTTCTGGGACTTTTTTCTCGCGCGCAGCCAGGCTCTCTCTGCAACACAAGGCTGGAAGTGGACTCATGTGGCTCTAAACTATGATCAAACATTTCTGATCACTTGTTGAAAATGCTTGTGGAGCAAAAAGCCATCACTGGTGGCCGCGCTGTTGGGTTCCCTGGAGAGACTGGTCCTATTTCTTCAACACGAACCAGCTTAAGAGCTCCACCTCAATTTCCGGCAGCATTCTGGCCACTGGACGTATCTACTGATTCCTACAGTAGTTGGATCAAATAACACACTTTATAAACAAATGACCAATTGGACCTGGTACTGCCATGCGCGAAAAGGGAAATGCAACTGCCCAAAGTCTCGAAAGTTTTGCGGCCAATCACTGTCCAAGCCTATGGAGGATATGGCTCATCGAAGATCATTGTGTAAGGCCATACAGCTTCTGTGTAAGAACATGCTGAACATCTCTAAAGCAGCTGCATGTTTGTGCAAATGCAAGAAGTTTGTTGATGGCCAGAACTTTGGGACTCTGTCAAGGGCACGCTTGGGAATGAGGAAGTTGGTATTCCCCACGCTCAGGGCACTGCAGAAAACGTCACAAAGTGAAACACTGCATAGAATCAAAGAGTGCAACGTCTCTCCCCAAACGAGTGCCTCAACCAAGCGCTCAAACACAGGAACAGCAGCAAGCAAATCTAGATCTACAAGATCTACAGAACAAACCATTCATTGGACTCGGCTGAACAATTGATTTCTGAGAGAAGGAGAGCAGGTAGGATAGCCTCATGGTGAGATCAACATTGGCAGTTTCTATGACAACATATAACAACTTTCAGCGTACTAGTACAGCAAACTGGAGACAAATCACTTTCCACGAGGGAAACATGTCAGTACAGTAACCTACCAACCAGCTTGAAGACAATTTTTGTTTTTAGTTTCGGACAACCTAGTTTCACCTGTCGAGATATAAACATGGGAGAAGCTTGAAACGGACGCTGCAATGATTTTCCAGCATTGCTTGCTGCACGTTCCGATCTCAGCCAAATGATGGACCGAGATCCCAAAGGGGGTACATACAAAGCACCCGCAAAAGCAGGTGGCTTACACGCATGCCTCATGCGAGTCCAGCAAGGGCTTAGCAGCATCTGCTCCATCAAATCTGTGTGCTGTCAAACAAATGTGTCGACAGCAGCTTACCAAGTTTCAAATGGCTCCAAACTATTGGTTGTCTATCAGGTGTAGATACATCTAGATACATAGGCGTAGTAGGACATACTTGTCACAGTTTCCTTTCTTTGGTGTATTCTGTTGCATGCTGCACTACTATTTGTAGCTTATAACTTATAAGTGTTCTTCACAAAACTGCAAAGGCTACTTAAGGGTCCCATACATCCGCAAAAGCACACAGGCACAGAGCAAAATACGTTCAGACGTCCTCAAAGCATACATGAGCCAACAACCTGCGAATCGAGAGAAAGCCGCAATGTCAACCGCGTGGCTTCTTAACAATGCAAAAACCAACAGCCCCAACCATATTCTGGCTTCTTGCGGTTGGCATTTCTTAGCAAGGCAGCTACCTTATCCAGGGAGACTTCAGAGCAGAAACTGGCCTCCAAATGCTCCCGAAAGCTCCTACATGAGCCTACTGAGTATTTCCAAAGATAAACCTTTGATGAACACCAAGATCTTCGGGAAGGGTTGCCGACTTGCTCAGAATCTGGCCGTGAATGTGGCCTATCCCTGTATCTACAAAGGCTGCATGCAGAGCATTCTTTTTACAAGGCTTGTAGGGATCAAACAGGAAAACAGGTCCTGTGCCAAACAAGTCCAAAACATAATCGTTTTATACACTCAATATTTGCTCTGCTTGCAAAAACGCAAAATTGCTGCCGATCGTGTCCAAAAGCTCTCGTCCATCCAGTCGACATGAATCCACACGCCAACAAAGTTTTATGTTCGCGTTAGCAAGTGCCTAAAATGTGGCCGTTGTATTCAACTTGACAGCCTTTGGACACTGGATGGTCTCACAAGTGTGGTGGAGAATCCACTTTTTGCCACTCCTGGGATAGGCTGATATGCAGCTCAATGCCACAATGCTCTCTTTTAGTCCTCTTTTCGCAGTCATACGCCAAAGGAACTGTCTACAGTGTACAGGATAATCGAAACCACTCCCATCACTGCGTGAGCAGAATCTACACTGCAAGAAACACACGAAAAAATTGGTTTTCATCGTGAAGTCACAGCTTGTGTAGGCAATCTCTCTCGTTTCTCAGATTTTGAGAGTCAACTGTTGCTTGGTAAGGAACGGACTCCAGCCATTTACCTTTCGGCAACAGCCTGAGCTCCACCAACATATACATGGTGGCTGCTCAATTTTCTATTCCCGGGAATGACCACTCTTCGCCAAAGAATGCCAAACATATACCAACATATACATAATCAGACCAATACGACCTGGGCCCAGCTGCTGGATTCTATGAGATCTGCAACATACATCCACACACTGTGCTTGCGTTCATATTCATCCGTTTTTGGTAGTTTCTACACTTAGGAGATGCTAGGACATAAAGAATTGTTGGAACGGCTTGCCAAAAGGGCTAAGATTTAAGGCAACATTGCAACTCCGTTCCGACCTAATGCGTGCGACCCTCTCCTGCTTGCAGCTTTTACGAACGAACTCTCTGCCGCTTCAACAACAAAGGGGCTACATACCATCTGAGTTGCCTCAACGACGAATTCAGTGCTCAAATCAAGTCGGCGATGTCCATTGGCATCTCCTCGATCTGGGTGTGGTAGAACCTTGTGCAAGGACACTCACAATCTACGAAGCAGTTCTAAAGGATATATATATATATATACGGTTGTGAAAGTGCACCCGACTTCGTCGTCCGATGCGCTTTTCTACTCATCGTGCGATAGCGCGGTCAGCTCAAGGGCCCTGTGAACTCAAAAGGCAGCATTCGGCTATACAACGTCCATCAGTCCATCAAACACGAAATTCACACTCAACCTGTTCTTCAGTCAGCTCTTGCAACTTGTGGCCTTTTTCAAGATCATCTGCCTGACATCCTGAGATCGTCGATGGAGTTGTCTCATGATCGGCGTGATCATCCACTTCAATGTAGCTCTCTCCCGCTCAGACTGAGTCGGGCGAGGGGCATACCTGGCAGCGCGAGGAATTGCAGGTTGTGAGAGGCCTGGCTGGCGGCGGCGTTCGGACTGAACATGCGGCTGTCACTTCAACCGGCTGCGCGTTCATCGTGATGAACCATGCCGCCATAATCCTTGGTGATCTGTAAACCACGACTTGCGTTGCAACGCTCACGACACTGGCCTCCGCACCTCATTTCAGTCCAGTGTCCGGATCCGTAACCTGTGTCGCGAGACCAAGGTTTGGCGATGGGACCGGCCGTGCCAGCAGCTCCGGCCGATCTGTGGTGCCGGTCTCGATCAAGCGTCCTGGACCTTCATGCCCGACCATACCTCTGGATGATCTCGCGGTGTCCTCGATGTGGCTCCGAGCCTCCTGCGACGCGAGCCAACGTGAGCAGCCATGTTCTTGTCCCTTGCAGGATCATGCAAGTTCTTCAAGTCGACCTGCAAAACAAAGGCTGTTCGAATCGAGATCCCTTCGACGCGTTCAGAAGATTTGCTGCGCCATTGTCGATTGCGGCTTGCGCCTCCTTGTGATCACGAGGTCGCAAGCCTATACATATATGCCTATATTCAAAGGCATTCATGGCGTCGCTACCCGACCCCTGTAGCAACACCGAAACTTTTGATGATATGTCGGCGCACTCTGGAAGTCATGGGTGGCATCAACCAATCCCCCAGTCAACACAACCATCAAAAGACCTGTCTTGCTGCAACGAAAGGTAGACCTCCAATGGATGGTTCCATTATTTTGATATTGATAAGTCCTTCGCTAGGCCTACGTGGGGCTGTGCATGAAAGGGCAGAAGCATCGGCGAGCGACCCTCTTGGAGCTGGTGCGATTCAAGG